ATCCCGGGACTCCAGGATCATGACCTGAGCCGAAGGCAGTCGCTTAACCAACTGAGCCACCCAGGCGCCCCAATAAACTGCACTCTTAAAGGCACGTTATTTCATACACTTGGCCGTCTGTATACCCCATGCAGCCATCACCACACTCAAGATGATGAAATACTCCATTATCTAAAAGTTTCCCTGTGCCGCCTTGTGGTCCTCTCCCTAACGCACTGAACTTGTAACATGGGGCAGTGGTCCTTGTAAGGATTTGGTAAGTGTGAGATCCTTTTGTAATAATGAGTGACATTGCTTATGAGTAATTGTCTTAGCTCAGGTGGCTGTGACAAAATACCAGATTGAGTGGCTTAAACCACAGAAATTTATTTTCTCCTAGTTCTTGAGGCGAGGATTTCAGGATCAAGATGCCAGCATGGACGGGTGTTTATGAGGGCTCCCTTCCTGGCCTGAGGACGGCTGCCTTCTCACCGTGTGCTCACAAGACAGAGGGAGCCACAGCAAGCTCTCTGGTGTCCCTTCTTATAAGGGCACTAATCCCATCATGGGGGTCCCACCTGTATGACCTCATTTAACCTTAATCACCTCCCCAAGTCCCCATCTCCAAATCCAGTCACGTTGGGGGTTAGGGCTTCAACATAGGAATTTTGGTGGTGGTGTGGCAAGGAAAGAGTTATTATTAGAATGGTCATGGTTATTTATCTGTTTACCTGAAAATTCAAAGTCAGCAGGGGTGAGGGAAGAGCTAATCAGTGATAGAACGCATCAGACGATGGGAAAGAGCTGATGTTGCCTGGAAATCCTGTGGGGACTGGACTTACTAGGAGGGGTATGTGTGTACATGTACCCACATGGACAGGATGTATGTACGAGTTGTTTCTACCCTGACCAACTCGTGAACAACTTGTGAGCAAGGAGGGACATGTGAATGGAGACCCTGGCCCTCCGGTGAACACTCTGGGGTCTGAGCTCTAGATCTAAGAGGTCCCGGATGAAGATCCACGTTGGCACCTGTGAGTCTGGTCTCCTGGTACCAGTAGATTTTGTTGCCAGTGCATTTTCTGCCTCGTCAGTGGGGATGTTCTGTTGTGGGAATGGTCAGTGATGTATGTGCTTTTGCTTTCCCTAGACGTGAACGAGTGTGCCACAGAGAACCCCTGCGTGCAAACTTGTGTCAACACCTATGGCTCTTTCATCTGCCGCTGTGACCCAGGATATGAACTTGAGGATGACGGTGTTCATTGCAGTGGTAATGGGCTTTGGCATTTGGAGACTTCCATCTGTCCAAGGGGCGCAGGGGTGAGGGGCGGAGGACAAGGGCTCCCTTTACAGGTGTTTCCTCTCCTTTCCCAGACACATCCCCAGTTTGGGACGTTTCCCAGTCCAGTGGGGTCACAGCCACACAAAGCAGAGACGAGTCACTTCCCGAAAGGTGGAGTAGAGTCCCCTCCCTTGTCATTTGACCCTTAACGCAAAAACCAATAGAGCTGCCTTTAGGGTCTGACATGGGGTTGAAGAGGGAAAGGAGTTGCCCAATTCTGTGAGTTGGTTTGAATTATCTGTGCCTGCCCAGCACTGACGAGTCCTGGGGCTAGCATAGATAGTGCTTGTCGAGGGAAATGACTTTGGTATAATAGCGTATCTCACAGGGTAGCGTTGGCGGGCGCACGGAATGAGTGAGATCATATGGGTAAGTGAAAATACTTTGTGAACTTCTAAAATCTCTACAAATAATCAGTGCCTAGTTTCAGGACTGGCACATAACATGCATACAGTCAACAGTTCTCAAAGCAGTGAACAAATGATTGAACATTGCATTAATTAATTCGTAATAATTTGTGAGAACATAATATGGTGGCTTTGTTGACCTTTTATAAATTCCTTCCAAGACCAAGAAGCTATGATTCTCTGCCAGTGCTGTCTTGTGAACTCTATTATAATTTTCTTATTAAACCTTGTAACAAGAAACTTGTAAACTCTTAGAAACTCTTGAGAACAGGGATGGCATTTTACTCCTATAAATCCCTGTAGCATCCCGCACAGAGCCATGTACAGCTCATTCTTTCTTCCATTCTTCCTTCCTTCCCTTCTTTCCTTGTTTTTTGTAAATGCTGGATTAAAGTAAACTCCATTCTGTCCACTTTTGGCATGATGAGCAGCTGTGAGTTAGCACAGTCCAAATTAACGATGCTTCACTGTATTTTTCAAAATAAAGAAACCATACCCTAAGGCGTGAAAATCTTTTTGTCCTGCTGAATGGAAAGTTTCTTAATCCTGGGTTTCACTGTGACAGGAACTGACCCAGGTCATGAATGAAACTTGTCTGGTAGCCTCACTGAGGACTGGGTTGTTCTGGGGACAGAGTTCTCTGAACAACTGAGCACCTCTCCCTGGGGCCCAGAGAGCCGGAGCCCCAAGAATGCAGTTGCAGAGAGAGCTTTAAATGGATTAAATGTCAGTCCCAGAAACTAATAAAATACCTTCAGGCATGGAAAGCTACTTTCTTCCTAGATTTCAGTTCCTCCCATGGCACTTCTTGGGGAATCTGGGCCAAGGGCCTAAGAGGGGGAACGTTTAGCATTATGAGATGGGATTATTTGTTTCTCCACAAATATTTGTTGAGACAAAATTAGTTGTTTCTGCACCTCCACAGGTGTTTATTGACCATCTGCAGAGGTGGTATAGGAGGGTGACTGGACCCAGACGGAGCTGGGTTCAAATTCTAGCTCTTTCCTTGGCCAAGGCAATAGGGTGGTCATAAAGATGAAAAAAGCTGGTGTGCCTAAGTGTTGTTCCATGTTAGTTGACTTTTTCTAGGTGTAAGTGTGAGAGACTTCTGGCTTTTCAGAGAGTTTACATCCTTGGTGGTGTGGCAAGGATTTTCAGTTGACGCACTTTATCCGAAATCACCATCTTCCCCATGTTCACCATGACGCCCCCCGTTTCTAAGACTTAGAGTGACCCCTGGCCCATTTAGGGCCCCTCCCTACCCAACAGGAGGTGGAGGTGGGTGCTGCCCTCTCCATCTGCCCTGGAGCCAGTCCTACTTAGGGGATGCCCCCAACCTTGGAACCCCTCAAATCCACTGATTTTAAGTCCTGAGCATGATCACTCAGGGAGACATTACAGCATTGTGCTGACCCGTCGTAGGATCTGGAGGCTGGCTGGCTGGCTTCAAATCCCAGGTTTGCTGCTTGCTCGTTATCTGCGAACTTAGTCAAGCTACCTAACCTCTGTAAGCCTCAATTTTTCCTCTGTAAAACGTAGCTAATAATAGCGCTTCCTTCATAGGGCTGAGGCGAGGATTAAATCAGATGAGGCACGGGGCGCCCGGCTGGCTCAGTCGGTGGAGGGTGCGACGCTTGATCTCGGGGTTGTGAGTCTGAGCCCTACACTGGTAGAGAGATTACTTAAAATGACTTACAAATAAAATCTTAAAAAAAAAAATGAGGGATTTGAAACATTTAACCCAGCCCTTGGTACATCGCAAGCACTCGGGAGCTGCAGGTTTATATTACTGCTTCTACCGGAGGTATGGACCAGAATCTACAAACATGACCGAGATCAAGGGGGACACCCTCTGTTGATGGGCTGGGGCCCGAGCCCTGGGACTCTACAAGGTCCCAGGGGAGGGGGAGAGGAGTTGCCAGAAGCATATCTTGCCTCACTGAGCATGTTTTAACTTTTCACATCAGCATCGCGGTTCCACTGGCTCTGAACCCCTTGCCTGGAGACCCCTGGGAGAGACGGGAAGGAGTTTCTCCTTCTCTGATGGGAGAGGCAGTTAGGCATGTCACACCCAGAATGAGCCAGCGGTAGGGAAGCTGCCTTATTTGCGCTGACACCCTCCCTGGGTGATTCCAGCCACCAGTGGTCTGTGAGTGAAAGAGCAATCCGAGGACATGTCACATGGGGAAACTAGGGAAAGCAAGTTTTCGGGAAACAACAAATGAAAGAAAAACATGTTTTCTTTGGCGCGCCTCTCGAATGAGGCTCAAACGGGGGCTCTGTTGCCAAACTCTGTGTGCAATGAAGAGCTGGCTCTTCGGAACCGCCCTCTGCATTGGCTGCCACGGCCAACATGGTCAATGGCTCTTCCTTCACATCCCCACCTCTGCAGCTGGAAGGTGGCCCAGCTCTAGCTTCCCAGGTCCCAGCGACCTCCTGAGGCCGGCGGGCCACCCAGGGATGATACGCTCGCCCAACCCGGGCCACTCCAGAGTTTTCTCTTTCAAGGAGATTTTTGGACACAAAGACATTTTAATATAATGGACATCCCTGGCCTCCCGGATATGTCCCTTTCAGTTGTGACTTTAGAAATAATATTGTTTCTCAACTTTGGGGTGAATAGAGGGCCATTGGCACTGGTAAAGTTGCCCTTTCAGAAGACTGGGCCAAGGGAATGTTTTTTTGGGTTTTGGAGAAGAGCTCTGCACCCAGAAAACTCCAGTGGGCAAACAAATCCCACCTCTAGAAGTGGAAGGTACATTTACCTACTGGGCAAAATGAGTCTGTAATGAGTAGATAATGTAGCTGCGCCAGAGGTAGACGTGTGGGAAGTTTGATGGAGACAGATTTCAGCTCCCTATAGGGAAGAACATGCTAACAATTAGAGCTGTCCAAATGTCGGTAGGCTTCCTCAGTAGGTAGTGAGCTCCCCGTCACCCGAGTGTGCAAGAAGTAAAATGGCAACTTTGTAGCCACAAATGTGCCGTCATATGTGTCAGGAGGGCGTGGGAGTTAGAGAAGAAAACCACTAAGCCCCCATCCCCAGGTAGTCTGATTATAAGCAGCAGGTGTGACTTGTCACCCCCAGATATGGATGAGTGCAGCTTCTCTGAGTTCCTCTGCCAACACGAGTGTGTGAATCAGCCCGGCACATACTTCTGCTCCTGTCCCCCTGGATACATTCTTTTGGATGACAACCGAAGCTGCCAAGGTAAGGCTGTCCAGAGGGGCCTGGCTGGGGGAGGTGTGAGGAGGGGCTGGCTTAGGGGGTCACCTGGATGTCTTCATCTAGGGAAGGTGGCAGGGATGAGGGCATGAGTGGGTTCCAGTGGCTCCCAGAGTGGCAGGCTCTGGCCAGGATGACTGGCCTTCCCGTCCTGTGACCCACACTTTGGCCTCAGAAAGGACACGGGTACTCTCGCTTCTGTCATGAACTCCACAGGTAGAGGTGGCCTGTCCGGCCTCCAAGGCGGATCTCTGCGACCCCTCAGAGGACTCCTCCAGACCCAACCAAGGCTTCTTGTGGCCTGGCCCCACTCATGGACCATGGTCCAGGCTTTGTCACGGCCCCTGGAGAGTAGCCTAGTTAGCATTTCTCTACTGGTTCCCTAGAGAGCGGAAGCCAGGGAAACTCACACATCTGACTGTGTGTCCCCCAAAGGGTCAGGATCCCAGGCTGTGAAGGCCTGTGTAGGTCTCCTTCAGACCGGCTGCTTGGGTTGATTCCCAGCCCCTGGTCCACCCACTGGGGCCAGCGGAGAGGCTAGGAGCTGAGCCACTGACCCATTTCAGCTCCTTGAACCTACCTCACCTGAACACCAAGCAAGAATTCTCCATGGCAGTGCTGGGCAATAGAAATATCAAGTCAGCTACAAATAGGAGCCATATAGAAATAAAAAAAAATAGGTAAAATTAATTTTAAGAATATATCTTTTTAATGCAACACATGTACAATGTTATCATCCCAACATGTGCTCAGTGTAAAAACTATTGATGAGATATTGCATTCCTTTTTGTACCGCGTGGCCAAGATCTGTGTGTCTTTTCCATTTACAGCACATCTCACCTTGCACTAGCCCCATTTCCAGGGCTCAGTAGCCACCCGTGGCCAGTAGCTATCACAGTGGACAATGCAGTTCTGCAGTAAAGACCCAGGCTGCTCCCACCACACACACACACACACCTGGGAAGCGCTGTCCTATTTCAGCCTCTTATCTGCATTTCAGATATCAACGAGTGTGAGCACGGAAACCACACGTGTAACCTGCAGCAGACTTGCTACAATTTGCAGGGGGGCTTCAAGTGCATTGACCCCATCCGCTGCGAGGAGCCTTATCTGCGGATTAGTGATAAGTAAGTCATTTGAGAAATGGGAACATGAGTGAGGGGCCTGGGTCAGGAGGCTGCCAGTGTGGTGTAGAGAAGAGTGCCCCTGCCTGGCCTATTGCCTACCACACACTCATACACACACACACACACACACACACACACACACAGGTACATCTGCCCTCCCTTCTTCCGGCCACACATTTACTACCCTGAGCAACACCCATTCCTTGCACTGGAGATAAAGGGATGAATCAGACACATCGGTCTTGTCCTCTAGGAAAGCAGCATCTAAGAGCCATTCATGGCTTAGCAGGGTGCTTCCTGCTCCAAACAAAAACTGGCAAAAGAGGACAAAGCAGGGGCGGGCGGGGTGTGGGGGGTTGGTCCTTGCAGACAGTTTCCCTCGATGCTGAGAGCTGTGCTTCTAGCAACCCTTTGGTTTCTGGTTCCAGGGTCCTTTGGGGCAGAGAGGAGTGTCAGGCTGCTCTCTCGGCTCGCATTTGCTGGTTCTTCCTGGGATCCTCGGGGCTGCCCTTGTCTGTAGCCAGGGACTGACCCAGTTCAATGCACAGCCCTGAGCCAGGGTGGCCGGGGAGGTCCGTGGCATGCAGCTGAAAACTGCCTGCCTCCAGGACCTGTTCCTTCTGACGCCAGCCGCCTCCTTCCAGCTCATGTCCTTGTCCGTGTGTCCTGTGCCCCTGCCAACCTGCATGGGACTTGCCCTCACCTTTACCCACACCCTGGAGCGGCCAGCCTCCCGACTTTCACGCACCCACTTCCACCATATGGAAGGCATTTCTCCCACTGCCACGTAGATGGACCCGCCCCATCTTTCAGATCTTAGCTGCAGTGCCACCTCCCCCAGCTGTTTGTGATCCTCTTCAGCTGCCCTCCGTCATCAGGCCCTCCTCCAAGCTTCTTAATTTAGGAAGCAGTCTTTTCTGTGTGACGCGTGACATTTTAAGGGGCCATTTGGCCACCAGGGACATTTTGGCTCGGCTATTTTGATCGGCCTTAAAAAACAAAACTTCGGAAATTATTTTTATACGTTCCTTTATTCGGTGTTAGTCGAGCTCCTGTTACGTGGCCAACACCTGTGCCGGGCACCGTGGTTTTTGCTCTCCTGATAGTGGAGGAGAAAGACATTAAGCAAATTGTCCCATCAATGAAAACATAACCACAGATTGGGATAGGTGCTATGAGCCGGAGGAATGGGAATTTATAAAAGGCAAATGTAGGTTGGACTTGGTCTAGACTGGGGAGTCTGAAAGCTTCTCCGAGGAAGTGACATTTGGGCTGGAATGGGAAAATGAGTCGATGTTGACAGAGGGTAGAAGAGCAGAGGGGACAGCATGTGCAAAGGCTACAAGGTGGTGGAGAGCTCGATGTCTTCAGGGAACGGAGGAGGTCCAATTGTTGCAGCCTGGTGAGTGAAGTGGGCAGTGATCGGAGGGAAATTGACAGAGGCCAGACCCCATAGGTCTTACAGGCTAAAGTGGGTGTTTAGTTTTTACTCACGTTGCAAGGGGTTGTCACTGGAGAATCTTCAAGCAGGGCAGAGACAGAATCTGGCTTTTTGACCATGGGCGCTCTGGCTGCCATGTAATGGATTGAAGGGGGAGGGACCTCTTAGAAGGCCATCCCAGAGGGCCGGGTCAGACCTGATGGTAGCCTGAACGACAAGGCTGTGATAAAGGGGGTGGTGAAGGTGGTTGGACTTGGACTGTATTTTGGAGATAGAACCAACCAATGTTTTGAAGAGAGATCAGAAGTTTGGGGAGAGCAACAGAAACGAGGCAAGGCTGACTCTCAGTTCTGCCCATCGAGGCAACGTACCTACAGACGTACCTCATCCTGTTGTGAACTCTGACCCCTAGGGGGAATCTCAGGGATGAGGTGAGAGATCTGAGCGGTTAGGGAGACATCGAGGGGCGTCTACAACAGGCCTTCCTTGGGAAAGAGAGTCAATGGTTTCATGTTATGACAGTGTTGTTACTAGCGTTTCAAATTAGCCGTTTGTAGTAGAGATATTTTTGTCCCTGATTTATTTCTCCTACTAGAAGATGAACTGTTTGAGGTCAGGATCTTATTGATCCTTCCAATTCCAGTGTCTAACACTGTGTCTTATAGTGAATTTAGTGAGTTCTAAGCTCTTGTTTATCAAATGAAAAGATGAAGTGATGTTCTCCACAGACCGTGCTAAGTACTACAGAGAATGTCCAAGGACCACCCAGTTCCTGTCAATCTCATGTGATTTCTTACTTTTAGAATTTTTTTATGAGTATGTATATCTGGGGAAGTGAAGGGTGATGTGACCAGTGACGCATTTTGCCAAATAAATACATGACAGATGTGAAGTGCATTAGAGAATGTGCCAGCATTCTGCAAACCAGACATCTAAGGCTAATACTCTAGTAGCAGGAATATCTGATTGGTCAGAATAGGCCACTCTCTAGGACACAGAGAGCTCACCTACACCCTGGTGAGTTTTTAGACGGAGACCCAGGGGCAGAGAGGATCTACAATTACAGCATTCAGATGTTAAAAATGGGGTAGCCTCCTTTTCAGTGTTTTAAGGGAGGAAGTAGGTACAAGGAGCATCTGGAAAGGATTTACCACATTCTCGCATGATTTCCCTTCCCAACAGCCGCTGTATGTGTCCTGCTGAGAATCCTGGCTGCAGAGACCAGCCCTTTACCATCCTGTACCGGGATATGGATGTGGTGTCAGGACGCTCCGTTCCTGCTGACATCTTCCAAATGCAAGCCACGACCCGCTACCCTGGGGCTTATTACATTTTCCAGATCAAGTCTGGGAACGAGGGCAGAGAATTCTATATGCGGGTAAGAGGGGATGGTCACCGTCTTTAACAATGCTTGTGTTGTTAGCCTGGCGCGTGCTTCTAGGAACAGCTCAGAGAGCAGCTAGGAGGGGCGGGTGTGAAGAGACAACAGGGGAGTGGGTGGGGGTCGGGACTTCGAGGTTCTGAACCTTATGACTTTCTGGGCGGCTTTGTGAAAACTGCTTCTCTTTTATGAGCTTCCGGATCCTCATCGTCTGCATCATGAGAAGTCAGGCCAAGATGCAATCTTCTGTCCTGCCTGGAGGAGGCACTCACATATCCAATTATCCATCCGCTCATTTGACAAATATTTATTGCCTACTACACACTTCCAGAAACTGGCCAATATAAAGGCTTGCCTCACAGAAGTGGGCGCCATCTGTGATGTCCAGCAGAGTCACCTTGGGGGCTCTTGGGATAAATGAATTGAAATGAAATGAAATGAAAAATTAGGTTCTTCCGTGGCACTAGCCACATTTCAAGTGCTCAGTGGTCGCCTGTGGCTGCTCATACAGCTCAGATAAAGAACATTTCTGTCGTCGTAGAAAGTTTGACTGGATGGCGTATCAGGAAAACATTTTAGAACACACGTCCTAAAATATACTCGCCTCTTTGTTAATTACACACACGTAATCCTGTGCCCCCACGTCACTGAGCTTCATCGCCTGCCACCCTGGGATGGCTGCGCCTCTTTGGAGACCCCTGCTCACATTTCAGTGTGAATTGGGGCGCTTGTCCAAAGAACGGATTGCCGGGCTTCCTCTCCGGAGAATCTCTTTCAGAAGACGGTGGTTGGGGCCTAGTGTATCAGTTTTCTATCGTTGCTGTGACAAATTACCACAACTTGGTGCCTTAAGACAACAGAAATTTGTTTTCACGCCGTTCTGGAAGCCAGGAGCCCGAAATCACGTTCACTGAGCAGAAACCAAGCTGTCCCAGAGGCGGATTCCCTCCAGAGCTCTAGGGGAGAGACCCTTCCTTGCTTCCTTCAGTTTCCGGCCACGGCCGGCGTTTCTTGGCTTGTGGCCATGTCCCTTTAGTCTCTGCCTCCGAGGTCACACTGCTCTGGTTCTGTGTGTATCAAATCTCCCTGTCTCTCTCTGTCTCCTGTGTGATTGGATTGAGGGCCTGCCCAGATAATCCAGGATAATCTCCCCGCGCCAAGATCCTTCACTTAATCACAGGCCGACATCTCTTTTTCTTTTTTTTTTAAAGATTTTATTTATTTATTTATTTGACAGAGAGAGAGAGAGACAGCGAGAGAGGGAACACAAGC